TTATTTTTTATTACTTTCTATTTTTTGTAGTACTGGGGACTGAACACAGGGAATGCTAAGCTACATCTTCAATGAGTCTGTTTCTGTTTGCAGTTTCTTTCGGGTTGTTTGGAAACAGGATCTAAGTTGCTCTGCCCTCAAGCTAGCAACTAGCAATCCTCTTCCTCCAACCTTCTGCGGGGATTCTATGAGCATGCCACCGTGACAGGCTAATTTTCAATTTTAATGTGATCTATTTTTTTTTCCTATTTTTGGTATCACATGTAAAAAATCTTTACCTCAGCCAATGTCATACAGACTTTTTCGTATGTTTTCTTCCAACATATATTATAATCTAATATATTAATTAGACTATAATCTATAAAATGAGACTGTATACAATTCCAATTTTTTATTAATTTCAAGTCAAAAATCAGGAGTTTTTCTCAATATATAGATATCTAAATGTCTTTCACCATTTTTGAAAAAAGGGTTTTCTTTTCTCAATTAACTGGTATTTGAAGGGTCAGCCAAATAGCTCAGCAGATTAAAGCACTTGCTTAGGCAGACACAGGGCCTGGGAGTTCAATCCCTGCCATGCCATGCAGGCCCCACCCCTGGGGCACGCTGAGACAGCGATTGAGACTGGGCACGGTGGCACGCGCCTGTAATCCCAGCACTTGAGAGGTTATAATCTGGAGGATCACTACAAGTACGATCTATGCAGTGAGACCCTGTATATCCTAAATACAAAAAAAAATTTCTCTGGTTTCTCTTCAGATCGTATAAATCTTTTGCCTTTTACTAAATAAAAAAAAAAAACTGGTAGTTGAACTCGTACGTGCAGGTCTGTTTCTGGACTCCATAAGTATCCCACTGATCTCTCTGCCTCGCATTATGCTAACAGCACACCTTAACCTTAAAAGTCCACTTTAACTTCTGCAGCTTTCTCATGAAAGCTACAACTCTGATACCAACTTCGATATTTGTATAATTTTGTGCTACTTACTTTTTAATTGCAATACATGCATACATTAGACTGATAAATATTAAAGTCAACTTTAGTAAAGGAGGCATTAGACTAGAAGCTAGTGACGAGGTAATATTGACCAACATGGACAGGCATAATCTTATTTGAGACACGTCCAAGGAGGTAAAACTGACAAAATGTAATGATTTACTACAAGTAAGAGATGACTCAACAGAAGTATAATGAATAAATTCTGCCTTGAATAATTAACTACATTGTACTATCATAACTTAAAAGAAAAAATATAAAGGAGGATAATCATGAGCTCAGTTTCAAGCCTGTTTCAAATTGTAATGCCCATACAACTTCCGTGTTAAAGTTAGAACTGGACACTTGAATCGGAAAATCAGAGAAAGGGTTTTGAAGTTGGTACAGTGGTGCACACCTACACTCCCAGCATTTAAGAGGCTGAGGGCGGAGGAACGTTGTGAGTTCAAGGCCAGCCTGGGCTACATAGATAGACTCTGTTCTCAATAATAATAATCATAACCATCACCATCATCTTAATAATAAATTAAATAAATGAAATAGTTTGGTCTAAAAGGAGAAAATGATAGATTTGGCAATATTTATGTATTCATGATAGCACCAAGAAAGACAATGGAAAAAAGTATTCTGAAAGCACGCAAACATTAAAGAACACCTAAGCAAAGGGAGAACTGGAGATCTCCTTGAAAACCTTCTATGAGGGAAAAATGACGGCAGGGTGCGAAGTAGCTCGGTGGGAGAGCGCGGGCCTAAGATGGACAAGGCCCGGGGCTGATCCTGAGCACCTCCCACACAAAAAAGTCAATGACTAAAGGGCATATAACTGAAATGTTATTAAAATTTTCAATGCAATAATAAAGGACTTGTTTTATAAATCTTGAGAATATTAAAACAATATTTTACAAAGACTGAAGGAAAGAATTTTAAGCAAAAGAAAAAGAAATAACTTTACTGGCAGAACATAAATAAACTAAGCTACAGAGAGAGATATACCAGTTTAAAATATGAAAAGAATTTAGATAAATAAGCATGTGGTCAACTGAGAGAATTAAATTAGGATTCTAAATAATGAGAAGACAGCACGCTCTTCCACAAAAGCTCAAATGTACAATACTACCAATCAGTATAGATGGGGACAATTTTTAAAAGTCCATATAAACAGAAATGCTATTTTCTCTATTCTGATTAGCAACTAGACACAAACGCTGTTCTCCGCACTGGGCCCTCACCTGCATGGACACTGTGATCTCCTGGAGGGCGGCGTCCGCTTCGTCCTGCTTGGTTTTAAGGAGCACACTTTGCACTCCGGCTCTCCGGTTCAGCTCGTCCACCAGAGCTTTAGCTTCATTCAGCTTGGACACCCCGGCCTACGCCAACAAAATACACATTAGCAGTACAAAAGGTAACTGCAGATGCCCAGCAAATGGAGCCTTGAGGAAGGGCCAACAAACACATGCTCAGGACATACAAAACAAGCTCGGAGACAGAAGGCTTCTTGTTGCTAATAATAATACTTTATTACACTTTACGCCCCTTAAGATGCAGTGAAAGACTCCACAAAGATTTTAAGGAAAAACAAACTTTAAAGCACAATGATAAAAGCTAAATATTTAACAGACTTGATAGCTTAAACATTGCACTAAATGCTTTTTCTTCATTGTGTTGGATAAGAGAGAAAATAAAAAACAAAGAGAAACTCAGTAAAGCTTTTTCAGTTTGTCTTAATCGAGAGAAAGATTCACTCAGACTCTTGTTGAGGGTCACTCAACTAGCGTGCCTGACTTGAATTTTTTCTACCTCACTTATGCTTCTGACAGAGTAAGATTCAAAATGTCCCCTCTGTCCTCTTTGGGTGGCCACACATGCAGCCCTGACCTGGCTATTACGTGCCCTGTCACATGCTCCATGATTAATCCAAGGAATGGATGGGAAAAACTTCCTTCTCTTGTGTAGTGTTAGATTTTTGTCACTTAACAAATCCAAAGATGTGGAGAAAGAATCACGGCTTGAGAGGGATGGAACTAAGACTCACCGAGTACCTCGCATAAAGGACGGGTTCCCTGAGGTTCTCCACCTACGAACTTCATCTCCTATACTCACTACACAACTATCACTAGCTCAATTAAGCTGAAACTCAGCAAGCTTAAAGACTACCCAAAACATCACCAAGAATTAAAGCAGAAAATTAACCCTCCCTAGCTCATTTGTGGCCCGCAGTTTAAAATAAAGAAAAGTGAATCAGAGAGACAAGGACAACACTAATGATGTCAGTTAAGATGGACTCTAGTTTATTATCCTCACAGAAGCTAGAACTTTGGGAAGGCAATGCTACGGACTTCAGAGGCTGGCCTTCCAACATCACCCTTAAGGTAGAGCGTCACGCTTAGAAACAGTTTTTTGTTTGGTTTTGTTTGTTTTTGATAGTGGGGATCAAGCTCGGGACCTTGCATTTACGCTTCTGGCCTATGTCCTCGGGAGTATTCAGAGAAATGTAGAAAAAAACTGCTCAGAAGCTATTCAGGGAAGTGACTTGGACAAGAGCACTACTTCATAAAATATAATTTTAACCTCAGATATAACAACCAATTTTAAACTTATTTTAAGATACATTTTCAATTTTATAACATCTTTGCCTTTTTTTTAAGAGACAGGGTCTCGTTAAGTCACTAAATTACCCAGGCTGGGCTCAACACACCTGCAGTCCTCACGCCTCAGCTTCCCCGAGTGCCAGGACTATAGACACGTGCCACCATGCCCACCAATTAAGTTTTCTAATAATCTGTATGAGTAGTTCTCAATTTTTTTTCTTTCTTTTTTTTTTTTTTTTTTTTTTTTTTTTTTTGTATTTTTTAGGGAAGGGTATACAGGGTGTTCAGGGTCTCACTACTAGATTGGACTCATATTAATCCGCTTGCTTATAGCCTCCCAAGAGCTGGGATTACAGGCTTGCGCCACCACGCCCAGTCTCAATCACCATCTCAGCTTGCCCTGGGGGCGGGGCAGGCACGGCAGGCCTGGGGATCAAACCCCCGGCCCCTGCGCCTGCTTGCAGGTGCTTTGATCAGCTGAGCTATTTGGCCAGGCGAATTTCCCAATTTCTGAAAATGCTTGCATATGAAAAATATTCTTAAAATATAAGCTAACCGAAGCATGTATATACTATCCAGTAAAGAAAATAGAAATTATCAAATTTAAAAAATATAAACCAAGGGCCAGCCAGATAGCTCAGCAGACTAAAGTGCCTGCTTAGGCAAGCACAGCGGCTGGGGTTCGATCCCCGGCATACCAGGCCAGCCCCGCACCCGGGGCTCGCTGAGATGGCCATTGAGACAGGCTGTGGTGGCACACGCCTGTAATCCCATAGCTTGGGAGGCTGAAAACAGGAGGTTCATTACAAGTCCTATCTATGTAGTGAGACCCTGTAGACCCTGTCCTAACACACACACACACACACACACACACACACACACACACAACCAAAACATAAATACCACTATAATCTCCTGGACACGATAAGTAGGGAAGTAGAATAATTCGCTAAAGCTTTTAACACAGTATATTATGTACTTATATTAAATATATACCACAGTTAACACAACACTGTGACTTACATAATCCTAACTTCCAATAAATAAAATAATTCAATATAATTTAAAAATTAAAATAACAGTAAAGATAAAAACACCCAAGATTACCAATACCATACCTGCAAATGACTTTGTCTTTTTAATAATTCATTTTTTTTGCTGCTGCTAATGGCAGAATACACCTGTAAAAAGGTCATGTATCTGCTTGGGGTTGCACCATGCGCTTTACAAGACTCGTGGATTAATAAAAATGACTTTAGGAAGTCAGGATCAACTGAAAAACAATAGGACATAAAAATGGCATATTTCTGATACATTCAGAATTAGAAAAATAGCCTTAAGTACATTTCATATTAGCTACTGCCATTGTAGTTACATCTTTGCTTTAACTTAAAGATTTACATGCATTCCTAAGCATCTATCCATAGTTCCTAGCTTCCTTAAGAATTTGGCATTACCTAATTTCACTGGTTATATCTTTCCACTGTTTATACTTCTCCTGAATGCTTTTATTGCTGCAAGAAAGATCTACATTATAACATAAATTAACTGAGACTACATAACACATGTAATCAAAATGTGGACTGAAAAAAATGTGTTCGAATAACTAAGAGACATCAAACCAAAGAGTACCTACCCACTGCAACTTGGTACAAAGGAAACAAAATTTCCAAAACCAAAAAGTTAAGGGTAAGCTCACCTTAGACACACTATACTCATGATCAAACACATTACCTCCCACTGACTCTATTTTGTTCTGCAGCCTGCTGCGATCAAGGAAATCAGCTGCTAATTCCCAAGCCAGAACTCCTGGGGACACCGCTGACCCTTCCCTTACGCTGTACACCAGAGCCAGCACAGTTCAGTCCCACTTCGACTGCCTCTGGCCTTTCTCACCTGGCCTTTCTCACCTCACTCTTAGATGTCCGCGGTAGACTTGTGGTCTAACCGTCCTCAGTCACTCCTACACCGATCTATTTTGCACTAACGGAGGGAAGGGTGGAGGCAGAAGCTGCCATCCGTAAGAAGACTGGGTCTGCATCTCCTGGAACTTCAGATCACGCGCAGCAAGGTGCGGAAGGCTCCCCAGGGCCGGCGGCAAGCGCGCCTCTGGCTTCAGCTCGATGCTGCGACTCACACCCCGCCTCCGCCCTTGCGCCCTTCACAGCTCCCCGGAGGCCTGCGCTCCACGCCCTTGCCTCGCCACTCCTGGCCGCAGTGCCCTCCCACTCCGCCTGTCTGGGAAATGTCTGCTGCTCGTATTATTGACCAGTTACAAGCTTCCCTTTCAAATCCACTTTATACACACTTCTACCTGCACTCACCTGCTACCTCAGAGCTTTACAATCACATATAATTCTTGTTATTCATAGCCTATGAGCTAAGAAGCCAGCGCTAGTATGCAGGTAAGAAAATGTGTCTCTACCCAAAGAATACATAACATTTTTCTGTACTAGAAATAAGTTTTATGACATATCTAAGTGATTAGCTAACATGAAAAACTTGGGCTGCTAGACAAAAACTCTAACACTATAATTAGGACTTTAATATCACCCAATAAGAAAAATAATCTTTTAATTTCTTAAATTCATAGTACATGTATTGTTTGTATTATACATTAAATGACATACACATTAATTTTTTTAAAAAGGCCCAAAAATTTTGCACAAGAAATTTCATTTTCTTATAGTTCTACCCATTGGAACATTAGAAAAATGGAAAATTATTTCATAAATAAAAAAGCAGATAGAATAGATTCCATCAAAATACTACCTGAATTTTTTTTCTTTTCTTCTTTTTTCTTTTTATCACTACATTTCTCTTCACTATCTGTTTCAGCAAACAACATCTCAGGTATCTATGACAGATAGAACATTTCTTTAAAACTCCAGTCTGGACTGCGGGTTTAGCTTAGCGCCAGGGTGTGTGCCCAGCAAGCCCGAAGACCTGCACTTAACCCCAGCAGCACTCAACGCAGTACCAAACGGGCAACTGTATCCAGTAGCGAAGGTTAACAACCTTAAGCAACAACAAAAGTAACAGTGTCAATGGCACTTTTCTTTTCAGACTAAGAGAAAAAAAGCATATTAATCTTTAAAAGACAGCGCATGAGACACATAGTAGCCATTAACTGATGACAAATTAATGGCACAGATGAAAAACAATCCAGTATCTCACTTAAACTTATGAGATGATATGAAACGAAAGCTATTTCAATTTGGATTGAATAGAAAATATCATTTCAGATCACAGAGTTAATAAAAATAAACTGTTTCATATGACACTAAACAAAACACTTTAAGGGTACCACAGCAGAACCAAAATTTCTAGCTTTTTAAAAGACAAAATAACTAAAATTAAATGAAAATAATTTCATTAGTGATAGTCCATAATTTCATAATTGGGTTTTCTAAAATTATTTTCTAGCTATAATTAAGATTTTGCCACTATAACAAGCAAATGTTTTATAAAAATCTAGCTTATTATTAAAAAAATTGATAACTTTATAATACTACATTGCAATATGCAAAAGAAAACTTTTCTGGAGAAAAATGAAAATTAAGCCATATAACATCCTTTTCTTTTACTAACTGCTAACACTATTAGTAAGAGAAAATATAAATAATCTAAGTAATTAGGAAAAGCAATTTATTAAAATTTCTCAGGCAATAAAATTTAACCCAAGAGACCCCTTCACATACACAGAATTGGAAAGGTGTCACTGTTCTTGAGCCAGAGAATGCTCTTTCTCTACTACCTTCACTAACAAAACAGCAGCCTCTCTGAGAATATTTTAAATTGAAATTTTAAGTCGACATTTTAAGTCAGTGAAATTTGTTTCTTTGGAAACAAACAACCTCTCCCTAACTACCCTACATTAGTAAAGCTTCCCCACCCAGATTTACCTGCCTCCCCCTGGCCATCATTTTCCTTTCTTTGAGATTAAATTTATAAAACACCATGTATATATATTAACTTTATTACTGACATCCTTATCTGTTACATACATTGTTATATCAAACACTGACTGGATTGTATAACTTTGAATCACTGCACTGAACAGCTTCCTGCATCAACTGCCAACCTGGGTCTTAATCGTATCTCCCACTACAATGCCCTGCATGGTCGCTGAGGCAGACCCATGAATCCCTGTCACCCCAGAACCCATAGGATGCCACAGTCTTGACCACGGCAAGCCAGGCGAGGCAGTATCCTCCTGTATCTCATCTTTACCTCAAAACCAGCCTCCCTAAACTCCCCGAATTAAGTTCCCATATTATCAAATCCAGCAATCATTAGCCCTCCTGTTCTAGGCATGCACCAATCTAATGCTTCTCCATCCCTAAAACTATTATAACTTGTCTCCCTGTCACTGTCTCCAAAATATACCCATCTTTTTTCTTAATGCTATCAATATTCATTAGTGATAATCCTCCCGCATTCTCATTTCTCAATTCCTGGGTTTCTCTCCGCCCTACTGCCTCAGTCATCCACTCAGACTTATGGTTATATCCTGAGATCCAGCACATCATTAACAGCACGTGAAATCCTTCACCATCGTTCTCTGGAACATGCCACCCCTTCACCTATGCACTGTCTTCCCATCTCCCTTCCTCCTCCCAACCCAATAAGACTCTGCTGAAACAGGCGACCACTACCAACTTGTTATAACATGACCAAAGCGCCGCAATCCTGTTCTGTGTGCGCCGTCTTAGTGAACCATGTCAGCTGCTGTAAAATGTGACTTCCCGCTTCCCAAGCCCCTCACCCCATCCTTGTGTTCCAATATGCGCTTTGTCTCACAGAACACCTGTTTCCCGAAGCCCCCATCCCACCCTTGAGTTCCAATGTGACTTCTGTTTCCCAAGCCCACTCCAGACCTATAACCGTATTTAGTCTCAATAGACATCATGACTTTTTGAACTTCCCGAGTTGTTCCCCCACCTGCTTTGTGGTTTTAAGCTTTATAAACCCCATGCTCCCCCCTTCAGTGCGCACTTAGGCACTTTGTGCCGGGTGTTGCCACTGGGTACCAGCTAAAATAAAGCGCTTTTTAAACTTTTGAGCCTGCCTCATTTTTGAGTTACAACACAACTGATGGTCACCTCCTCCTGTCCGCACCTGCCACCTCGCCCATTCGCACTCCACGCTAACTCATAGTGCGCACTCTTGCGTCCTCAGCTCCCTTGCCTGTCACTTGCAGCACCACACTCACCAGCAGAACTCCAGGCCTGGCCATGTTCACCACCACTTACTCCAGGCTGGCACCATCAAGCACACACAGGTTGAGAAAAGCACACAACTAGGCAGCCTGGACTCAAATGAACTTCGGGACCACTGGCCCCAAGTGACCTGCAGCTCTGCCCACCTGTCACGCACTCTTCTCCTGGCCTTCCACTCTCACAAACAACTCTCTTGTGTGTGTATCTCCTTGCATTCCTTCTCTAACCTGATCACCTTGCGTCCCATTTCACTGGGGAAACAGGAAGGAGCATCTACATCCCCAACGCAGCACCCTCCGCCCTCCAGCTCTGCGTACTTCGTCCAGTTTGGTTCATCCTGACGTCACCACTGGCGCCCTAGGCCCCTGTGCTCTGCTACTCAGTCACACTGCCCTCTACCAATTTCCCTACCCTTTGGGTCCCTGCTAAATAATTCCGAATGCCGTGTGAACATGCTACAGTTGGTCCTACTTTTAAAAATACTATCATTTATTTACTTTCTTTAATTACTAATTCATTCCTCTTTCCCTGTAAACAAATGTCTTCAAAAGCATTATCCATATAATTCTTTTTTTTCTTTTTCTCCCCCCCCCCCCAGTAGCACTGAGGACTGAAGCCAGGACCCAAAATGAGTCACATCCGGGGGATGGGGAGGTTTCACCAAGTTCCCCGACTGGGGACTCAAGTTCATCATCCTCCAGCCCCAGCCTCCCAGAGAGCTGGGTTTCAGGTATACACCATATGCAAAACCTGAATTACAACTAAAAGAATGAAATAAAGGTAGGAGACGAAAGGATTGACTGGAAATAGGAAAAGGGACCGAATAGCAAGGGAGACTGGCAGGCAAAGGAGTTGGGGGAGGCAACGATCAAGACCATTGTGCCTGTGCACCGATTCCCCAAAACTATTAGGTGCTACCAAAACACACTAATAAAATTTTTAAATATCAAAAATAAAGTTGCACATTCACTGTCTCAGATCCACTCTTCCCTCTCCTTCTGTGGCACATCACAACATGGCTTTTCCACTACTTTCGGCCTTGAAACCAGAGTAATCGTATTAAAACATAAGTGAAACCAATTTTGCTCAAAAGCCTCATGAAGTAAATTCTCAGAAACAGTCTAAACCCTTCTGCTGGCTGCCAAGCTTCCCCAGCTGCTCTCCGGCCACTCTGGCCTCAGGGCCGCACCTCCTGCTGCTCCGCACAAGGACTGCTCTTGCTCCACATAAAGGCCTTTCTCACCAGGCCTAAAAGCCATCAGGAGGCCCTTCCCTCAGCATCCCACCTTGACAGCGACCCTCGCTCACTGCGGCAGACAGGACAGCCACGAGGGCAGGACCTTTGGGTTTTTCTCTCTGCTGTCTCTTCAATATACAGAACAGTGGTAGACACAGCACAGCTAATAACCCCCTTTAGTCAGTGAACGCCTCGATTATCAGAGTCTCCTCAGACTAAAATGCTTTTATCTACTTAATGACATCTAACCAAATAGTTTCAACTGTGAAACTTTGTCTATTGTCCCAAATTGTAATCTTTTCTCTGAATCATAATAGCTACCCGTCTGTATTTCTATCACAGTAAAAGGAATTAGTCCTAAGAATATCATTTAAGGATAATACTGGAAATTATTATTTAACCCAAATAAAACAAAATAAGGGCTCATAGAGTGTTAAATTCTCTTTGACACATATAGTATGGCGGACATAAATTGAAAAAGGATTTTAAAAATTTAATTGGAAAAATTATTGCTATGATTTTTAAATTTTTGGGTAACCTCTAATAGGCTAGAAAATTAAAGACATAAAATTTTAAAGTATAATAATTATCTTATTGGTCCTTAATTAAGAATCCAATTCTCAACCTAAACTTCTAACAGGAGAGAAATGTTCAGCGCCACAGTTAAGGCAATTTTCAAACTAATACCAAGAAAGAAAATGTAAAGCTCAAATGACTTGAAATACAATGTGGTTCTCCTGTGATTTTCATATTTCAATGCGAACTCACTTTCTTCATGCTGCTATCTGACCAGCCCTCCATCCACAGCACCTGGCACTTCTTATGTAAAGCTGGGTTACTTTCACAGTTTACTATGAAGTTCAGATTTGCAGAATCCATTATCAAGACAATATGCAAGTTTTGCTGAATTCCTGAAATACATAAGAAAATTATAATAATGAATAATTACCCAACACATAATCTGGACATTCATATATGATTTGGTTTTATGAGATTTAAAATGTCCTGAAATGGACTATTAAGAGCCGCTTATTAAAAGGAACAAACTATCAAATACCTGGCACGGTATGTATCAATGTATATAAGTACACTGTGTGAATTCTACAAAAGATTCCAAAGGATATCCATGAATGGTGTAAGTGTAGTAATGCCTTAGTGGTGTGATTATTCTCTCAGTTTTTAAATTTATTTCAATTTTAAATTTTAATCATACATAAATGCATTAATAAAGATTATTCAGTTAAAAAAAAACAATAAAGTCTGACCCAATCTGCATAGTTCAATAACTCTTTAAGGTAGTAGATACTAAAGTAGTACAAGTTTATCACATGAAAATTAAGGGAAAAAAATACATATTTGACATTTTCACCATTTCCTTTGCTTAAATTTTGCCAAGGAATTTTTGTCAAAGTCTAGCCTACAGACTGTTAATTACTGTGTAAAAGTTCAGTGAAAAAGGAGAAAGACATAGAAAGACATTTATTTTATCTGATTGATCTGCTTAAGTAGTTGTGTACCACTTACTATATGTGAAATAATTGAAGACTGGTCCAAAAAAACCATCCTGTGATGCCTGATCTTTAAGAGGCAGCAGCAAGGGCTCTAATTCTTCCAGAGCATAGAGTCCAGGGACTTCACCTACAGAAAAATATGACACTGCTTCTTAATTCTGGCTGCAATATACTAATCCAAAACACACTTGCATATACAATTTTCACATTAAATAATCTGCTCTTATTCAATCTTGCCTTTTAGAAACATACAAATCCTACACATGACTCCAAATCTATGTCTATAGGCTTTACTTAATAAAATGTAAAGTCCTAGGGACTGAAAACATCACACCAGAGTGCTATATGTGCACCCAAGTTTATAGCAATGCAATCTGTCATAGTTAAATCTTGGAAACAACCCCAATGCCCATCAACTGAGGAATGGATAAAAAAGATGTGGTATTTTCATTACTCAAGCTACAAAGCAAGATAAATTCAAGGCTTTTATAGGTAAATGCCTACAACTAGAGACAATACTCGTAAGTGAAGTAAATCAGACTCCCATGTGTAAACATCACACTGTCTTCCTGGCACAAAGAACCTGAAAGGTCAAATAAAATCTGAAAGGTACAACAGATATTGTGAAAGGGAAAGAAACTGCTCAAAAGGAAAGAACAACTGGTATGAAAGAGAGGAGAGGAGGAGAGGAGGAGAGGAGGAGAGGAGGAGAGGAGGAGAGGAGGAGAGGAGGAGAGGAGGAGAGGAGGAGAGGAGAGGAAGGGAAGAAGGAAAGAAAGAAAGAAAGAAAGAAAGAAAGAAAGAAAGAAAGAAAGAAAGAAAGAAAGAAAGAAGCCTGTCATGCCGGCCACACTCTCAGGGCATGCTGAAGCGACTGAGACTAGGCCTGGTGGCACATGCCTGTGATTCCAGAATTTGGGATGCTGTAAACAGGAGGATCACTACGAGTCTGATCTACACAGTAAGACTCTGTAGGCCCTGTCCTAAAATACAAAAGAAAGAAAGAACGAAAAAAGAAGAACAAAAAGACACACACACACACACACACACACACACACACACACACGAGATAGCTGAGATAATTGCACTGCTAATTCCTGTTGGTTTAATGAAAGGAACAGTTAATGCTTCATTTCTTTTTACCAGTTTTACATGTGTATATCTGATAATCTGAACTACTCTGAAGACAACAATATGCATTAGAACAACCACTATTGAATTCCTATCATCATGTATTTTGAAATTCTGTATTGCTTCTGATGTTTTATTATTTTTTATTCTCTTTAAAATAAAATTTAAAGAATTAAAAATTAAAAATAAACTCCTAAACAAGTCACTCAGTAACATTTATAATCTAGCTAGCTATGTTCCTTCGCAGGCTTTTTCTACTCTTCCCCATAAATCCCTGTTCCTACCCTCAATAAACTTGTGTCCCATAAATACAATAAACTATTCTCTCCCCGGAATGTACACCTAATCCTCTGGCCCATATCGTTGCCATACTGTTCACCCCTTAAGACGCCACTTCCCAATCCTTATGCCCTGGTTTCCTATATACTCTTTATTACTTACCATCCAAACATATCACTGTTTCACATCTGTCAAATTAACAATGAAGTCCTTCCCTCTCCTGCCCAGACAGATTCTAACTATACAGACTGCCTGGGACAGTGGTGCACACCTCTAATCCCAGCACTCAGGAGGCTGAGGCAGGATGATCACTGCAAGTTCAAGACCAGCCTGGGCTACAAAATGTGTTCAAGGCCAGCCTCGACTGCATAGTAAGACCGTGTCTCAAAAAGACAAAACAAACAAACAAACAAAAAACCAGGACAAGAATTTCATGACATTAAATATTATGGCAGAGAATACTATACCTATCTGGAACATAGTATTTGTTATATAAACAAACTAATGAACAAATGAACATGTGCTAGAAAAGAACAGACCTACTCTACAGCCTGCTGCCATACAACAGAAGAATAAAAACCTAATTAAAGTAAGTGCTACAAACACTGGATAGAAAGATTGGATCATGCTTGTCACTATAAATCCACCATGTAAAAGTTGTCACTGCACATAGCTTTTAAAATATTTTTTATAATTATAACAAATAATTACAATTCACAGGAAATCCCAAGATCAAGCAAAACCTCCTTCCTACACACCCAAAACATTCCATCCGTGCAGGGCCCTTCAGAATGTGATCAATGTTTTTCTTTAGATTCAACTTTCAGACACTAGATTCTTTATCTCCTAAACTTTATATATACTACACACATGAGCATACGAAGCTATTGCTTATGGCTCGCTATAATTTCAGCCATGCAGACAAGCACAGTGCACAAGCCTGTAACCCCGAATTGGGA